TGGTTGAAATTAGGTAGATAAACAGGTAGAATTTTGCTACGATCTCGACCTAATATTACTTTAAAGGAGAGTAAATAAAAGCGGCCAAATAGGTTACTATGGAGGCATACAATTACGTAGAATTTTTAACCAAATCTACCTAGTTGGATGTTCTACTATAAAGACGATTTTTAGTTGCCAAAAAGGTAGATATTACCTAAATATGGCACCTAATTTTACTACAAAGGAAATTTAACTTTGAAGTAATTGTTGGTTATTTTTTTTTAGTAGTTTTTCCCTTGCTGATATGGTTAAAGTTACTTTTAAGCAGATTTGTGTAAAAGGTAGATTTCTTGGTATAATTTACGTAAATTTAAATATAAATTAAAACCGTTTGGTAAATTTACATTAGAGGTATATTTTTCTAGTCAATTTTACGTAATAATTACCTCAATAAGTAAATTCGTCTTTAACAAAGTCGAGTTATAAGTAATGTTATAGAAAATGTTTGCTGGGCGGAGCCCCTGTCAGCATCGTAATCCTTTATTCACTTTTCAAAAAGATGGCAACCCTAATCTAGGTATAAAAATCATCTTAACAATTTAATCATCAAATCGATTCTAATCCACACATGTGTGATTTAGAGCTCTTTCCATAAGACTAAATAGTACGATATGTGTCACTTTCCTATGTGGTCGTAGGAAAAGTTATTAAACACAGTCGCAGCTATCATCTGTTCTGTTTTTAGTTTCGGCCTTATCAGATACTATGTTGCCGAACTTTTGTTTTTGGCCTATATTTATATTTGCTTGGCGTTTAGCTTATCGAATAGCAAACCTGTAGCTGTCTTTTAAAAATAAGTGTAAGGTGTTGATTTCCTTAATAGGATTACATTGTTTAATTATGCTAGAGCAGTTAACTAGTCTCTCGTTCTTTTTACGTCATTGTTATACCAATGTAGTTTTCTGATTTGATTAACTTTTTGCACTATTTCAGGAAATTTTCTGTAGAGCAAATATAAAAAAAATATTTAAAAATTCATTTGATTTATACTGTTTATTTTTTAATGTCCAACAGCAATAATAGTCGTAATTTTTAATTTTCATATTTAAAAAAAAGATATTGCTTTTATCGCGAAAACAAAAGTAGAGTGCACTAACGATCTGAGCCATGAAGGCTTATGCCAAGTTAATAAAATTTTCTAACCAAATATTTGCCATTAGCATTTTCTACAACGGTTTTTTAAGACTTCTTTGTTGAGCACTCCACTACTGCAGTGACTGCAGCAAAGAATTTCATGTTCTTCAAAGTACGAATGATCGAAAAATTTGCAATTTTGCTTTGAGCAAATAACGCATCTAAAAGTGTCAATGGCTTCTTTACTTATTAGATTTTGCCAATTTTTCTACCTATAGGTATATTTTTGTTATTTATGATTATAGAAGGATATTATTTCCATTAGAGTTGTTTGTGATGCCATTCTCTATAATTTTTGTCCTATACATGGTTTCTCTAAAATGGACCTTAATGAATAAATTGAAAAAGTGCAACATAGGTATTTTTTAGTATTTTCGTTGGCAATGAAGACTGAAAAAATGTTTTGAATATTTGTTATCTATAATTCATATTCTAAATAGTTTTTGATTAGATGAGCCGTACTCAATATCTTTGATAACAGAAAACTCATGTGATGGATACTTCATATATTTTTTGTATCTTTATACAATAGGTGTTTTTTTTATTATTTTCTGTTAACATTATTTCGAATAATAAAGTTGACCTGAAGATATAACAGACAGGGCCGCCAAGAGCCAGGTCGGGCCCCGGGACAATTTTCTAGGTCGGGCCCCGCGACAATTTTATACAAAAATTATGCCCTTTCAATATCACAAAAAAGAAGGCCATCCTACAAAAATAAAAACCGTCCTCACCCAAAGCTTCCGGGCCCCCCTTATACCGCTACCGCGCCCTCCTTATGCCGCTGCCAGGACCCCATTTGAGCCCGTGCCCCAGGAATTGGTCCCGGCTACCCCTCCCCCTCCCCTCTTGTCGGCCCAGATGACAAATGTTAGGGAGTATTCCAGCAAGTTACACCTCATTTCAAATCTACAATATGAATTATCTAATCCTAATATTAAATATACAAGGTGAGGTTAGTTCATACTGTGTTTTTAACTGTGTATAGAAGTCATTAAAATAATCAACTTCTTCAAAATAAATCAAAAATGAGAAAGATACAAAATTAAAAAAATTAAATCCGAGCTGACCTGCAATAAAAGTTGAGTTGTTTATGTTTTTTTCCTTTTTTTTATATTTTTATGTATGAATCATGTTTTACTGTGTACTGGTTATTGTAATTAAGTCATGTGGCATTCCATTTTAATAGCTTGTTTATCAAAAGTACCTAGTTAACACTTTTTCAGACTTATGGAAAATTGAATAGTATGTTAAGATGAACAATAAGTAAGAGAAAAAGTATCAACAACAGTGTTAGAAAATTAATTGTATTCCTTTCAAGTTCAATATGATCAAGCACTACAATTTGAAGATTAAGTTCAGTTTTGTGAATGGTTCTTACAAAAGTTCTACACATGTAAATTAGAAAACCGTATTTGATACATTTTGGTATAAATAATAATTGTAATACTATTTTGATTTTTTTGAAAAAGTTATTTAACCCTTTCGATCCCAGCCCTAAATTGAAATGATGGTTCCTCAGGCCCAGCCTTTTTTTGCCCTGAATCACAGCCGCCGTATATATACGTCAACTACAAATGAAGATAAACAAATGCGAAAAAATGTTTTATTGATGAAAAATGTACTTTATAATAGTAGCAAAACGATAAAAAAGCTAAAAAAATATTTTTTTAGTGAAAAAATTAAAAGGTTTCTTTTGTGTGGTAGACTCCAAAACATGGAACTACACACAGACCAACTCCGCAGTTTTCGCACATGTATCTGGTTTCACTTCTTTTTTTGTCGCACTGTGGCTGCAAACAACACATCGTTTGACCTTTTTATTGGAAAATGTCGGCCTGTGAATCTCTGAGGATTGTTAGTCAAAGGGCGAAAGAGTTGTACCTTGGGTTCATTATATCTGAAACAAGAGAGACAATTGTAAAATGTTATGGAGTGGTGGAGTGTGATTTGAAAAAATAAATGTAGTAAACTTACTTTTCGAAAAGTTTCTGAATTAGTGTTAGTTGAAAATCTGCATTGAGCATAGCCAGATCAAACATGTGAAAAAATAGCTTCTTATACCATTTTGTGCTTTTTCTTACACGCTCTGTGGAGCTTAGCATCATGTAAGCTCGATCTATTGCACCCATGTTTGCATTATAATCTAAAACACAAGCTGGTTTTTTTATAGGCTCTTTTGTCTTAAAATCGACTTTTCCAAAGTCATGCATAGTAGTCAACATTACGTCTATCTTTCCATTTTACACAGCAGATTTTCAGTACTCATTGAAACAGTCTCGCCTTTACTCAATTTTTGCGATGGCGTTTGATCTTGTGTACTTTTTGAATCGAAAATGTCCCTTGAAAAGGACCAAGCTCTCATCAATGGCAAGGTTTCGGAAAGGAGTAAAATATTTTTGAAATTTTGATGTTATTAAGTAAGCACATCTCGCAGTTTATGAAAACTATGACGTTCTTCTTGCTCAGCATTATTTGCAAAGTGCAACATCCTAAGGATAGCTTGAAAACGATTCCTTGACATCATTTCAGAAAATATTGATGAATGTAGCAACTTATCAAACGACAAATTTTCTCTTTTCTTGTTTTTCCCGTGTCGCCCTACCAGTAACATGACGCTCAGAAACACGTAATATTCGTTGACTGTAAGTTCACTCCACTTCAATTTTTCGTTGCAGAAATCTCAGAGGCATATCTATTGGTTTCAGCTACGATTAGCTCTACTAACTCTGTATCCATGAATAGAAGGAAATAAGATAAAACATCTGACTTATCTGTGATTGTCTCCAAGTGTGCCCCAGACTCAGAATTATCGAAAGCATATATTTTGGGAATGAAAGTATTTGTGTTCCATTCGAGAGACAAGGGTTCTTTGAGGGCCAAGTTCTCTTGCAGAGGTTGCTCCTGTTGCAGAGGTCGCACCTCGAGTTCATCCTGTCTTCCAGAATTTTTTGCGTCATTTTCAGGTTCATTTTCGACGTCATCGAATATTACTTCATTTATTTCCTCCTCGCTTACCGACTCTTGGTCCAAATCGGGTTCGTATTCCAGTTCTGTCAAGCCACAGAAGTTTCTACTCTCATTATAGTTACGTTTGGAACCACGTGTTTGTTTTCCCGAACTTGATTCCATATCGCACGCACAGCTAATCTTATTGCGAATCTGAATGAGACTGAACCAATCGCCAAGGAAAACACGCGGTCTAACTGCACGTCTACATATTCTGATCTGTCGACATAGCTTCATACGCAAATATACGGCAATGGGTCTGTGTGTCATATCTTGCAGATCGCAATTCTGCGGCTTTGAGCAAAAACGAGCAACAAGTTCCGACGGATTCATACGACATTGGGACTACTGAGGGCCAAAATTTTTTACTGCCATAGATATGCGGCTTTGGGAAAATACGACTAATGCAATATGAACGTATGTATACGGCGACTGCGACTCGGAACACTTTTTTTATGGGTTAAAAAAGGTTAAAAGGTTAAAAAAGTTTAATTTTAATGACTTTTATATGTAGTTAAAAAAAGTTTCAGCTTAGGATTCATCCAGTATAGTTTTTCTGGAGTCTAATTTAAATCTGGTAGATAAGTCCGATCGTTTGAATATCTTCAGTCGTTTTCTTTCTTCTGGCGAGTTTATTAGGTCACTTATTAGTTTATTTGGATGTAATCTCACTCGTTTTCAATATGATGTACTACATTTTTTAATAACTTCTTTTACGAAAACGACTTTAAGGTCACTATGTATTAAAAAATGCAACAAAATTTAAAATATCACCTCTTAAAATATAATAATAGGTAATTATAAAATTCTAATAGGAGTAGGAGGAAGGCGATACTCGGCCCGTAGAACTCGTTCGCCAAGCTATTCACCCAGAAGACGTTCACCAAAACGAAGTTTATCTCCTAGAGGTCGTTCAAGTATAAAGTCAAGTTCAAAGAACACCGACAGATACGTTTCAAATACCAAAAAGCCCAAACACGAGACGTTCACTGCCGAAACTCCACACCAAAAATCGCCAACAATCGCTTCGCCTTTGGAGGGTCTAAAACGCAGCGTAGCCGACTCCACCATATCAGACGATTCGTTACTCCCGCAACCCAACTTAGAGGAGTACACTCAATCGCCTCTACCGCAGTTCTTCAATTCGAGTAAATCTGAAGAGAAGAGGATCTCGCTGGATGACAGAATCAACATGGAACTCGGATGGCACAAAGAGGAGTTACAACCGATCAGCACGACTTACGAAAGTTATAATTACAATCAGAATCAATTTTTGCAGGCGCCGCAAGTTTTCAGCCCGAAGCCCGACCAGAAGAGAAATTTATATTCGAATGCAAATGCTTCTTCGAATTTCGTGCAAGTCGGGAATATGGTACAAATCGTTCCTAAAGATTTGACGGAAATGGACAGCCGGTCGGAGTTCGTTCAGCCCGAAAAGAAATCGCAGATTTTGCAGGTATTTTTTTCAGTTTGTCATCTAATTAAATTTTCTGCAAATTATTCCGTGCGCCTAATCTGTAGATGACGATCTGTGAAAAATCTTATAGTTAACTCACTACTTGAAAGATACCTTTACAGTTTCTCCTTCTATAGTTGAAAATTGGCAACACTGAAAAAACCAACATCATATCTCGAATAGTACTGGCGCCATCAAAAATATATAATAATAATAAGAATAGCCTTTATTGCCCAACAGATATAAATCCCTTTACAGAGCCATCTAATAAATTATTAACAATATAAGTAGTAAAGGTGACATGATAAATAAAGAATTATAAAATAGAATAAAATAAAAAAAAACTCAAGCATTGTCATAATAGTTACAAGCAATTGCTTTAATACTTATCAAACTATCTTTAAAGATATCTGAAGAATTACAGTACATGTTAAAGTTATTACACATGACATTGAGAGATGAGCTTAATAGAATATTTGTTCTGGATCTCTTACAGTAAAAAGTTAAGTGATGTCTGTTATTATACTGTGGAACGTTTAAATGAATTTTAGCCAAGATAGCAGGACAGTCAATTAACCCATTCATGATTTTATGTAAACAAGTCTATGAAGCTAGAATTCTCCGAAACGCAAGACTTTCCATGTTAAAACTGTCCAAAAGTAGCTGATAATCAATTCCTATTGGCGGGTAGACACCATTTACTTTGAATGATAAGTATTTCAAAAACTTCCTTTGAATAGATTCAACACGAGTTATATGAACATTATAACAAGGATACCAAATAGTTGAACAGTACTCAAGCTTAGTGCGGATGTATGAATAATACAAAGTCTTTAATGCTCCAATGTCCTTGAACCCACGACAGTTTCGTATAACAAAACCATACATTTTTTTGCGTCAGAAACCTTCATAATAATGTGCTCAACAAAACTCAGCCTTGAGTCGAAAGTGACACCCAGATCAGTGATTGAGGAACAACGTGACAATACCAAACCATTAATATTATAATAAAAATCTATAGTTGATCTTTTTCTAGTGTATGCCATCACTTTACACTTCGATGCATTTAACATTAACCTATTTTGCATGCACCAATCTGACAATATATCTAGGTCCTGCTGAAGCGCTAAACAGTCATACATATCTAATATTGAGAGGTATATCTTAAAGTCATCTGCATAAATGAGTCTACAAGAGTTTAAACGGTGATCGAGATCATTAATAAATAACAAAAATAGCAATGGTGCAAGGTTAGAACCTCGAGGGACGCCTGATTTTGCAAAGTACACCTGTGACGAATGACCGTTATGAAACACAAACTGCTGCCTTTCCAGAAGGTATGACATACAGAACCAACCTTATCAAGGTCTCAGGAAAGCCAAATTGGTTCAATTTATCAATTAATTTCCCATGATCCATTCTGCCAAAAGCCTTTGAGAAATCAGTGTAAATAACGTCCAATTGCCTACCTGCATCAACCGCTTCAGATAAGTGCTGAGTTATTGCAAGTAAATTACTTTCTGTAGACTTTTTGTTTAAGAAACCATGCTGCGAAGGCGATATTAGGTTGTGGACTGAAGAATATATGTGATTATAAATGACAATCTCAAAGATTTTCGATAGATTTGACATAATAGATACAGGCCGATAGTTTTTGATTTGTGTCTTATCACCTGATTTAAAAACAGAAATAATTCTTGCCTCTTTAACAGAAAATGAGGGGATGTCATCAGAGCCAGAGGTCATTTTATTACTTAATTTTTTACTGGCTTGTACGATGTGCGAATCGGTGATAGTGCCAATTTTAATGATATCACCCTAGAATTGTGATTCAAATAAACTAGCCCTGTCCTGCTGTGGCTCAGATGATGTTACAAAAACACTTTCAAAGAATTGACTAAACTTATCAACTATATCTTGAGGATTCGTAAATGATTCGTCTTCAAGCATCATAGTGCCTGGAATACGTGAATTTTTATTTTTTTAATTAATATATGACCAGAACAAGCGAGAATCAGTTGTTATATTACCCTGGACTTTATTAATGTAAGATTTATGAGCATACTTTATTTGGTGTTTGACTTGCGATCGGATTAGTTTAAAATGTGCAAGAAACGTCTATCATTTGTTCTTTTATATTTTTTAAAATATTTTTCTTTATTCTTAATATTTCTAATAATGACGGAATCGAACCATGGAGGCAATTTACGCTTGTAAGTAGGAACAAATTGGTCAAAACTTGAGTACAAGGTAATATAAAACTGATGTAAAGCATTGTTTACATCTTTGTATATCAATAAATAATCCCAGTTAATATTCATGAAAGCTTACTATAGTAACGGATAATTGGCATGCTTGTTATATGCTTTTCGTTTTAAATTCGATTCAAATACATTGGGAACATTAAAAAGATTATTAACTTGGATATATAAAGAAGGATGATGCGAATCTTCACTGACAATAGAAGGTACATTACGAGTTACATCACAATCCATGTTAGAAAAAACGATATCCAACAAGCAACCTGTTTCATTTTTAACGTTATTAAATTGGACTAAATCATAAAACTTTACAAAATTGTCAATAACACTGTATCTTCTATCATGAATATTATGGTTGACGTACTCGGAAATATCAAAATCACCTATAATTAAATTTTTTCCATTATGCAACATTTCAAGCCCTTCTAGACATTCAAAGAATGACACGAACCTATCTAGTGAAACAGAGGGGGGAACATATACCAAAATTGACATAAACGAAGTATGTGCAAGTAGACATTTGCAAATGATTAAATTAATATTTACAAAATTTTGATCAAAGAATGTATCAATTTTAACACACGAGCTGTTATTTTTAAAAGCCAATAAGACTCCATGACCAGTTGATAAGCCAGTTCTGTTAAGATCACGATCCTTTCTAAACACTTGGTACTCCTCCGAAAGAAGTTTTGAGACTTTGACTGCAGGTTGAATCCAGGTTTCACTTATAGCTATAATGTCACACTCATTATCATATACATACTAGTCAAATTCATCAACCTTGGTATTAAGACCTCTAACGTTCTGGTATATACATGTTAACTGTAGACTGTTGGGCTTGTTTAGTTTAAATTGCTGATGACAATCCTTGGAGTGTTATCAACATATTTATTTGAAACATTTTCTCCATTGTCTTTCCTAATCTTTAGTTCATCCTTTAGTTTTTTCATGTTGTCTCTGCAAAAGAGTCATATCCAAATCAATGTAAATCTTTCTACTTTTGTTGATTTTCTTCTTATTCCTAATCACTATCACAGCTTCATCGGAATTATTAAAAGTTACTTTTAAAGGTCGTGCTCCATTGCGATTATTTTTTCCCAATCTCGTGACTCCAATAATTTCTATAACGTGATTTCCAGTTGTAACTTCTTTTATTATGTCCTTGATTTCATTAGTATCACTTTTATGTGGATTATTATTTTCAGAAAAATTATAAATCATGATACTGCTTGCTCTTTTTTGGCGATCGTTTAATTCCTTGATGATACTTTCTTCAGATACCGGGACTCCATGAGGTTTATCAAGTAGAGACTTTAATTCCGTTTCCGATTTGTCAATTTTCCAGAAAAAGAATCAGCCTCAAACCAGACTGACAGTCATCGCAATACAATCTAAGAAGTCTTTTACCCTTCAAGTCCATGACTTTTAGTTTAGAAGCGTTGAGATCAGAGCATTCTCTGTGGACAACTCGGTCACAGCTATCACACATCAATATAGCAGCATCCTTACTGAGTGGCTCTTCACACTTACAACAAACCATCATAATTTTCATCAATTATTTAAACTAAAATAAAAGAAACCCAGTCAAAAAAATTGTCCTGTCACTGGACGCAATATAATGAAAAAGATTTTTCGGAATCCTTTTTGTTTTGGCTATCATTTTATGTAGATAAGAATAGGCCCAAAAAAATTATTGTGTGCAAACAATTTTACTAACAGCAAATTACACAAGTGATATTAGATGACAATATATACAAAAATGTGTGACTTACAATAACTGCTTTAAATTGATATGAAAATCACTATAAAAAACGAGCTCAAACCAAGTAAAATTAATAAAACCGGATACTTCCAAATGTCCACTTGGGACCATATTTGTTTCGAAGAAATTAGTACAATATATCCCCTGTAGTAATTTCACTGGGATTCAAAAAATGGCTTTGAGTTACGCTGCGGCCAGGCGCAGAGCCACATGCAGTATGTATACATGTCCCATAAAGCCAGAAAGCTGGTGTTCCGCTAATTTTTATAAACTTTTCGCCACTTTGTATACCTTTCCGAATAAGCTCATCAACTATTTTTAGTGAAAATATGCCACTTTAACCATTTATTTGTACTCGTTAGGTTGGTAATATGATTCAAATTGTGCCAAATGAGATGGCACCTGAAATACCACTACCGCCTCCTCCGAAGTCGCCGCCCAAAGAAGATCCTCCTAGCGCAGAATCGACGCTGAGTGAAAATGTTTCTTCTGATTTAGACCAATCTGAGAATATATGTGAACGAAGAGCCGAAAGAGACAAGAGGAAAAAAGACAGAGAGGCGAGGAGGAAGGAAAAGGAAAACAGACGGCGGGAGAAAGAGAAGCAGCGGAATGTTAAAATGAAGGAGAAAACGGAAAACATGATTATGGTAAGAGATATTCAATAATTAATATTGTATTTAATAATTGTAAATATAATATCCGAAAAAATCAGTATATCTGAAAAATAATTGGCTGAAATAATTGAAAATTTGGAAACAAATCTCAAGAATCCCCCTACGAATATTGTATTTATTATTGAATCTGAAATGTATGTTTTAGAGAGCGCTGCAGCTTGAAATAGAACATAATGAAGAAGTAGAGAGCGATTTTAATGAATCTGCACCTCATTGGCCGCCTTCACTTAATACATCTGGTTCTAAAGATATATTAAACAAAAGCATTCTAGTACAAGGACGACGGTAAGTTATATTTTTGAAAAGATATTTTCTATACATTTATTTTGTAGCAGTGGATAGGTACAGATATGCAGGGTGTTGTTAAACCACATGTAGATTTTAAAATAGGGCGAACATTTTATTTTTTAAAAATACCAATAATTGAAGTAGGTCATCTACAAAAGCTAGGTCAGCCATTGCCCCCAAATATCCGAGTTACAGTGTATGTCTACAATTTTAATGTCAATATTCTAGTTAAATTGTTTTTATATTAGGGTTAAAACTTCAATAAAGATATTTCGTTTCTTTCTTGACTATCAGTAACTGATCATATTTCTTATTTTAACAGGCTCATTTCTTATCTCTAACCATTTTAATAACTATTTCACTTCTGTAGGGGAAACATACCCATTTAAAACCAAAAAACTCAATATCTATTGAGAAATATTTTTATTTGTCTCTTGTTAACTAGAATGAAATTACAGGCCAATTTATTAGAACTATTTAATTTTTTGTACTTTGTCCAGGAGATCAAGTAGAGGTAAAAGTGTGCAATTTGCTGATGGTATTCGACCGGGTGACGGAACATCTCCATCTGCAGGCGAAGACTTGTGTTCGCCGCCTCCCTCGAAAGTGTTGCCAAAAGAGAAGAGATACACTAGAACCAAATTACGCGGCAGGAATATGAAGAAAAAAGTAAAGGTGTATATTTTTGATAATACATTTTTACTTAATATTTGTATCAAAACCATGACGAAAATGTGTATTAATTTTGCAGGTGAAGATAATCAAACATAATCCAGAACAAACACTTTGTGAAGAAAATGGAGACGATGAAGACGATCATCTTCCTCCTCCATCGCCGCCCCCAGGTTCACCGCCTCCTCATATATTTCCTCCTCGTATAAAGACAATTATAAGTAATATGCAAGCTTACATACCGAACGTTCTAGGAAATCAAAACCAACCGGTGTACACTCCGACAATGAATCAATTGATGGCAACACAAACATTGTCTCGCCTTCAGCAGTTCAATATACCTGGTGGACAGTCGCATGTTCCCCCTTTACCTGAGTCGTCGCATATGCCGGTTCATCAGCTTGCGCATTATCCACTTTCATCCGTCGTTGCACCTCCACCGCCACCAGTGGTAACCTCAGGTAGTTATAACATATTAAATTTAATTAAAAATATTGTTGAGACATTTTTTTTTGTGCAAGTACAGATTATAATTAGAAAAACATTCGTTCTGGCAGCAATACTGGCACATCTCTAAATGCTTATTTGATCATTAGACGACTACAGAAGTGCCATTTTGTATTTTATGCAGCTGCAATATTGATATTTATCAGTATATATGTATATCAAATGTTTGGTGTGACCTTAGACTAGGTATTAAGAGAGGACTCGTAACGTCGCAGGAAATAATGTTCCATTCTAACACCAATGTTATTTGACCAGAAGCGTAACATTGATCTTTTTAGGTATAAAGCAAGTTCAAAGTGTAAAAATTAAAATAAATAAGGAACAATACATAGGACAAGAAAAATACCTTTATATACAAGGTGCGTTACGCTCAACGGGACAAAGCCTGGTGGGTAAACTACAAACAATATTAAAAATTCCTTCAGCACAAATATAAAACTAATGGCGACTATAAATTAAAATTAGTTTCATATATACAGGGTGTCCCAAACCAAAATGCTAATATTACGTTTTTTTTTTTTTAATAGGACGCCCTATTTTCTTTTTATTTTAAGTGCTACTCTTAAAAATAATCTTAATTTAATAAGGATTTCCCATTCCCATCTTCGATAATTACCGATTTATTTGACATTTTTTGAAAATTTAGTGCTGTCAAAATAAATTATTACTCTTGATTACAAAATAAATATTTTGCCAGTTCAAATATTTGAAAAAAATTCTTTCATTTAAATGGCCATCAAAAAAATGGGGCCTCACCATAAACGTTTAACGACCATCAGTTTTGTTTATGTACAGTTCGAAATTCATGTTTATTTTCGGTGCTTTAATAATGAAAATTATGTCACAAATCCTTTATTACGGAAAGTAGATTGATCAGTAAATGTAAATAGTATTTAATAAAAGTTAATGTTTAGATTTGTACGACACGTCACTGTTTTTTTGCAATTTTAATATAACTAATTGCTCAAAAATTAATAAAAAGCATAAAATAAACTTGGCACTTAACATTTATTACTCTAGCGTGAGACATGTATAATAAGTGAAACGTAATATCTGGTTATTTCTTGTCACTAGAACTTTTACACTGATATGCAACATAATAAACCATTGCAACAAACTAATTATCAAATGTTGTTTAAATCAAAAATAAACGCGAGTAATGAGCTGTGGTGTCGCCGAAATGCTTAGCACCAAAAAAATGGTGCTCAATCGATAATTGGCACAAAATACTATGATTGCTTGATATACTTGTTACGCGTCCTCTCTCTTTTCTTGTCTAAGAATGGGACACGTTAATAGTGACATTTTGAATTGTGCCAGTGTTGCACTGGTGTGACATTATTTAGTTATGTGCTAATTTTATTGCCAGAGTTACTACTAGCGACTTTGTATTTTTGTGTTTTGTTTAAGTGGTACAACTGCAAAAAATCTCTAATTCTTAACAAAATCCTTCACGAAAGCCATTAGTATACCACTAATTTTTAATAAAACAATTTACAGCTCTTAATCAATGTTTTATATGTGTTATCGTGGCAATAAATATTTTAAATTCATTTATCTGGAAAATTGATTTTTTTGAGTTGTGCCACTGTTGTGAGCAATTTAATACTTATTACGTAATTCACACTGGCTAACCGACCGCCGACGGTTCTTATATTTGTTGAAAAGAAAACCGTCTTCCGGCGGCATGGTCTTGTTCATATAGGAAATCTAAACTGATTTGTTGATCAGGGCGGCATGCTATCAGTGCATTGATAAATGTCGCCGGACGACGGTCTACTGCATTTAAAACATTGAATGCCGGTGGTAAGAAATATTTCACCTATATTTAGATCTGATGTAGTGCTTATGGAAAGTACGAAAAGGCCATTTTCTTCTCTTGAAACCACATCAAATATTTCAATTTCACAATTTGTAGCAATATTTGGATCGTTATTGTATATAATAGGTAAATCATCTTGTGTGACTTCTATAATAGTAATTTTATCATTTCGTCCCACTTCTGGAATGTAATTTTCATCAACATCCTGAGCCACTATGTCTAAAATTTAAATTTCATCATCATCCTGAACTACTGTTTCTAAAATTTTATTTTCATATTCTTGCGGTATATAAAAAATCTGGTTTTCATTCACTTCTGTTCCTGATATATTTTCGACAGTATCTTCTGACTGCGAATTTGTAATAACTACATCCTCATCTTTTTCCCAGGCCGTTTTAAGCTGAATTAATTGTCTAAGTCTCATATTATATCTTGCATCTCCTGCTTCAGGAACAACAAACACCACTAGCTTCACTCGATCACAAGCTCAAGAAAAGTAAATAAAAATAGTCCAATAATTAATTAATATTAATAATTAATAAATATGCAAGAAGTGAAAATTCACATAGAAATGAAAGAAATAAGGCTGTCAATTTTTCCGTCGGCATTCAATGTTTCAAATACAGTAGACCGTCGTCCGGCGGCCTTATCAATACTCTGATATCCTACCGACCTCATCAACAAATCAGTTTAGATTTTCGGCGGCTTTCTTATATGTGAGAAGACCATGTGCTGCCGGAAGACGGTTTTCGTTTTATTAAATTCAACTACCGCCGGCGGTGGGCTAGCCAGTACGTACTTAATTTTCTATTTTACGAGATAAGGTGCAAATCCTGAGTATATATATTTTTTTGCAGATTCTTCGTTTGGAACTACACAACGTAACCCCCATTTTTATAAATATACACATTGAGAAGATTGTAGAAGATAATAGTGTTTTAGTGTTATTTTTATATTTTCTGTTAATTGTTGATTTTTATGCAGTGAGTACATTATATGATTTAAGTGGTAAATAAATTATTTGTCCAACAATGAGCTTGTTTTGAAATCTTTTCAGAAATAGATAATTAATAGACGTAAGTAATATATTGTTTTACGAGCAAGGAAATTACTTAAAATATCGTTTTCCTTTATACTGGGAGTTCCATCACTAATTACTGATTAGGAATAGTTTTTACTTTTACTGTGTTTTAAATGTAATTATAAATAATTATGCTAACGAATTGAATTACTGTTCACTTTAACACTAGATACAAATATACTCAGTTCTTCTTAAAGCCACCTTTGTGACATCGTGTAGAAGGATAACAAACTAATTGTACCAGAATAGTTTTCTATACCTCTCTTATCCTCGCCTCATAACTGTCATCGTTACTGTATTATTACTTTAAACAACTAGCATCGAGTCTATAGTAAGAGAGCCAATGGCAAATTTTTTGTACACATTTGCAGTGGTGAACAAATGAAGGATCTTAGATATGTATTCTAGTACAATTAGCTTGTCGTCCTTTCTACACGATGACTTTAACGGTGGCTTTAAGAATTGAGAGAGCTTGGGTGAGATTAAAATTTGTGTTTTTGCCGACGACTTTAAATCTACCACTTTGCATGTTGAAAGCCATGTGCTTTAATATATCAACTGGTAAAAGCATGAACGGCAACGGTCCGAGGGTTCCAGGTTTAATCCCTGGTCGATGCACTCATTTTTTCTTTTTTTAATTCTATGCTTTTTCAATTTTTCATTGGTTTGTTTTCACTTTGAGGATATGAAGGTATATTTTTCATATAGGGAATTGTAGTTTATTTATTTTCATATTGTAATCTACCTCACCCAGGTACCTTCATAATTGATTAATTCCATTTTATTAAAGAAAAGTTATATTTCTTATTAAATTCGAAATCCTTCATTTAATGAAAAATTTTTTAAATAATTAAATCCTATCTAAATAAATAAAAGCAATATTTTTGTTCGTGAGGTCTAATATTACAGTAATCATTAAAACACCGATTTCGACACAAAATTCCGAGATTTTCTCAAGGCTTGTAATAAATCGACGACCCTTTTTATCCACCCAAATTCGTTCCCACCGGAGCTACGACAAATTGATATTATTAAAACGAGTATAAATACCCAAACTCGAGGAACTCGATATTCATTATAATACTAAATCCAGTCTTATTCGTTTAATGTAACTTTCTTTGAGTTATCGTCGGAGTTTCATTTGAACAAAGGCCTGACATTTGCTTCAAAATATTTATGTAATCCAATAAACCACATCTGTTTTTCGATGGGTAAATATGAGTTATTTAAATAGAAATTATTAATATCTTAATTTTAGAAATATATTGGGATGTATTTATCCTGGATAAATTATGCAAACCTAGATGGTAAAATTTAATAGTAAGTTAACCAACTTGTGAATTGACACTTCGTTAGCTAAAGGGGGGCACCAATATTAGCCACCCATTCTACTAGGTTTTAACCATAAAGTATATGTGAACATCAACACAGTAAATTAACCAACTGGCGAATTTGCGCTGTTTGTTAATTCCGTTGGCCATCACCTCTATACTCGTCGAAATAAATACCTGTGTATATCTAGGATATAATCAAGCTAAATAAAATATAAATATCAACACAGTAAGTTATCCAACGGGCGAATTGGCGCTCTTCGGTAACTACGTTGGTCATCAAGCTAAATAAATTATATGTTTATAGCAAATGAACGTTCTGCGTTTGAGCGGGACTCGGGTGAGATCTCGGTAAAAAGTACCAAATGTAACATACTTTGCAAATTATTGCATTACATTTAAAGTATGAAAATAAAAGGGTTGGTTCAGTGGGTACTCATAACTTTGAGATCGAAAGGTCTCAGGATCGAATCCCACCGGTGACAGGGATTTCCATTTAATTATAATTCTAATTCAAAGGTAGGATTCCCCACTCGACCGTTCACTGTTGGGTTCTAATTAACAGTGCTGTTCCTAAAGTGGCGCTGGGAAACAGTAACAAGGCCTGTCTGTAAGGGTGCAGGAGTATTAGAGTACTACTACTCCTGCACTATGGAGTATTAGACTACTAGTACAATCCATAACCTACATAGAACACAAGGCTAATGACCTTAGATGTTGAAGCCAGACACCAAATAAAAAAAACAGTGCTGTCCTAAAGTGGCGCTAGGAAACAGTAACAAGGCCTGTCTGTAGGGGTTCAGGAGTATTAGAGTACTAGCACTCCTGCACTATGGAGAATTAGACAACTAATACAATCCTTAACCTTAGAACATGATGCTAATAACCTAAGTTGTCGAAACCAAAGACACCAATAAAAAAAAATATAATAAATTTATATGGTTTTATTTGCACCAAGTTTTGCATCGAATCCCGGCTATCATTAACATTATCACAACTTAGGTATATAAATTATTAATTAAGTAACTGTCGATTACTACAACTACTACTACTAGAGAAAAAAGGCAATATACTTGTTTCTTTTATCTAAGCAATATACAGTAAGTATAGAATTTAAAGTAAACATAATTGAGAGGTAAATAATAAATAAATACATAAAAAAATATAAATAGGCAAGAAAAAATAATTTAAATAACAAGCAATAAGTAAAATAAGATAAATGTAAAATAAGAAATTAAGGGCCAGTCTTTTCACCTCTGAGTAAAGTTGAAAGTAACTACTTGCTGATTAAACTATAGGGCTATTGTTTATTAATCTGTCAAGTAAACCTACATGTAACTTTACTCAGAGGTGAAGAGATCGACCCTCAATATGAACAAAAAAATATAAAATTATATAAAAATAAAAAACATCAAATTAAAAACGATAAGTAAATTCAAAAATAAAAGATATAAATAAAGACATTAAGAAGATCAAGAAAAATAAAATAAATATATTTAAAGCCTTTTATTTTTCATACTTTAATATGTAATAATTTGCAAAGTATATTACAATAGGTACTTTTTACTGAGATCTCACTTGAGTCCCACTCAAACGCGACCACGTTCGTTTGCTATCAAAATATATTTTATTTTGCTTGATGACCAACGGAGTTAACGAACAGCACCAATTCGCTAGTTGGTTAACTTACTGTGTTGATGTTTATTTAGCTTGATTCTATCCCAGATATACACACAGGATTGTATTTTCTTAGGTATTTATTTCGACAAGTATTTTATATTTCCAAAATAAATTTTTTTTGGTGAAGCCTTAAGTATTGTTACCGCCCACTCTCTATTCGTTTCGTGAATTATCTAAAGCATGTGTCGGTGGCGTAGCGGTCTCACGCGCTTATATTCATTGATAGGCAAGTTTGTGGTTCAGAAACAAAGCGGCTTCGAATCCTACATCAGACCATGTGAATTTTTAATTAAATTGCATGGTGTGCCATATTAACAGAAATGTATTTTCTGTTGATATGACATGCAGATTATAAATCAATGATGATGGGTGAGGTTTTCCTCACCTGTAAGTCAAATGGCACTATCAATCATCTTTAAGTAGCCCCGGAGCGCTTCGGCAAATAATAATAGCCTGTGTGGGGAAACAAGCTCAATAGGTTCAGTGGTTGAAATTCTTTCATTATTACCTCACTCCCCTTTGTGAATTTCAAAATAATTTATACTTGCTGTAATAGGCCTTTTTCCTCTAGTAGTGATCGTCTAGTTTATTAAGATTATTTTATTACCCACGTGGTGTTTCAATTGATTTAGAAAGTAATCCAGGATTCGATGCAAAGTTGGGTACAAATTTGTAAAATGAAATAATGCTTAAAATATATTTAACTTTATTTTATCCTCAAATAAATAGCGTATATAGCAGAGGCAGAAATTGGAAAGACTATTGGTAGATAGAGAGGGGGTAATGTTTATCACCCAGTGTCGTTTTCCATACAGCACATATTTCAGAAGTGTATCAGAAATATTTCAAACATATAACATTTCAGAAATATTTTAGTTAAATATTTCACTGAAAATGTTTCTGAAACATGGTATACATGTTACACAAAAGGTTACTAAACGGGTTATGTAGTAAAAAGCCAACAAATAATGAAGAATTTCTGATTTGTAATAAGATGGGATATGTAGTTATTTTATTTCATTCTATGTCCCTGTCCAGCCACCAGCTAGAAACAAGTATTACTATTTAATATTTCTAAAAGATTTCAAATTTTCATTTTAGAAATATTACTGTGAAATATTATATTTACAGGACATTTTTATGTTTCAGGCACATTTCAGAAATGTTTATGGGATGTTTCATAATATTTATACATTACAAATGTTTCAATGTAACATTTTTAAAATATTTCCGAAATGTGTTTGTGTGCTGTATGGCTTCATGGAATAAGTAATTTTAAAATGTTACCGGTGGAATCGGACAATCCCATGTATTTATTGACTAGAAATAATAATTAAACAAGTCTTATAATATCCCAAATCATACTTCTACAAAATTTCCACAGCTATTCACAATTTATTAAACTATTTACCCGAAATTATTAATATCTAAAAAATAATTTTATAGGTGTCCACTTCGGTTAGCTCCAGCGCAAAACTGTTAATTTTTGTGTATGAAGTGGGAGAACTGTGAAAAACTTTTTCAACTTCTGCCTCTGCTATACGAGTATAATTTTTTATTGGGGAATGATAATTATATTTCTCTTAGGTTAGGTTAGGTTAGGTTAGGTTAGGTTAGAAATAAACAGCACTTGCCATCAAATATGTGGATTATTCTCGAATAACTGTGATTTTTTATCTCCAGTATTTTATTTTTCGTTTAACATAAGCTTTCCTCATCAAAAAGTTATTAATATTATAAATTTAGAAGTATTTTATAACCGACATAAACCATCGCAATTTTTTATTAAGCTGCATATATTCGAAATGTCAGTACCCGTGGCATGTCCGATTCTCATTTTTGAAATTAAATATATAAATGTCTATCAAAATTTATTTTATAATATAAAATGTACCTCTTATAACTACAATCTAATGCATACTACATTGAATTTTATTGCAATTTTATACCAATCTTTCGACTGGTAAAAAAAAAATAATCATTTATATGTCAGTACCGTGGAAATAATGTCAGTACCGTGGCATTAACATTTTTGAAATTTTGTCACAGTTTTCTTTGTGTTTTAGGAAAATTTAAGTTGTAAAAATCACAGTTACACGAGAATCGCCCATATACTGTTAAAGAATTCTTGAGGATATATAGTAGACATCCTCAGAATTGCAGACATCCTCAGAATTCTTTATTTCGTCGTTTCTTTTTTATATAGGTGAGCTTCCTGAGATAGTCGTTGCAATAACAGACGAGTATCCCTTATGTTTCAGCCTCACCTAGGGGGGGTTTATGTAGTGTAGTCCTACTAGGATAGTGCCAGATTAGTACCAGCGAACTACCTCTTGTGTTCAGATTTACTTGCGGTGCGAAGATTGAGAGATAATCACTTGAGACAGTCCAACCCTGCAGAAACATCAGGCATATAAGTGTAAATGTTTCCTAGCCGCCCGAAGTGTCATTTATCCCATACAGCTGAGATGTTAATTTATTAGCCATTAGCGAGGGTGTATTTGAAAGTTCGGTAACGCAGACTCTTGAAATCGTTATGTTGGTATAATTTAAAGGCAGAGTGGCTCGTAGCGCATGTATCTAGTCGGCCTTAATACGGCGTCAGTGAATAATAAATTTCATAAGAATATAATTGACTATTATTGGATAATAATGAGTAATACAATAATACCTATTATTATTAATAAAGTCCCAAAAATACAAAATGGCTATTTATGCCTTATTTTATGTAACGAGTGAATATTTGCGGAACTAGCAGAGCGAGGTCCCGCAACATGAACGAGTTACATAAAATGGCTTTTCGTAACATATTACATACAATATTTTTTCTAATTTTGACTAATTATTTATTAAATTGTGATTTGGTAAAACATTACTGACATCTAGGCAACCAATATTACTTTATTGTATTGTTAGGTGCATATGCATAACTTCACTCATTTCATTACCAAACAAAAAACATATTCATTTATTCTCAACGCCTTGTAGTGTGTTTATATTGTTTGTTAAAGATATTTAGTTTTTCAGAAAGTGGGTTATTTTGTTTCATGTATTGTCTTTTATTTGGTTAATTTATTAATAGGTTGTAAGTTTAACCAAATTCTATTTTTGAGCCAACCTGTCTTTCTTTGATAAAAACTTTCAATAATAATGCATTTATTGATTTTAAAACGAAAAAAGGTTCATTTTTATTTCTTTTATTTTCGCAACTGGTGACATAATGAAAGTAGATCATTTTGATACTTGCTGTGATTACAAAAAATGTCACTTTATAATATGTCAAAATTAGATACAAATACACTTTTGTTTAAGTTATTAACTCCCTATCGAATATGCAGTCCGTTGGATGTATTTCATCTGTTTCTATTTCTGACTATTTATATTGTTTGATACGGAATAAGTGTTGCTTGCTTGTGTCGTAATATTTAGCCGAGACGTTGAGAAATGTCGTCTGCATGTAGAGCGACGTAACGTGTAGAGACGGCGTCGGGAATTAAAAAGTCAAATAGGAGAAATGACGTCTGGACGTAGAGCGTCGGATAGGAGAGAGGGCGTCAGGACGCAGACACGCCGGCTAGAAGCAGGTATCGGGATGTAAAAGTGTGGAGAAGGAAAGACGTCGGGTCGGAGATGTACTTAATGAGTATAAATATAATTGAATCGAAATGGATTTTAAATAATAATGTTTGAAATAAACTAAACTGAATTTGATTTCTTGATGAATAAATAGTTCTCCGGGATTTAGTATTTATAATAAATTTATCAAAAGCTATTAGTTTTTAACTATGAGGGGATATCCGGGCTGGGATTTCGTATTCATAAAATTTAATATTTGTAATAATACTATTAGGTACTTTACTTTCAGTTTATGTCGGTCCGTAGGTACATATCTATTTGAAAATTAATATTTCCAACTTTAGAAGAATTAAAAACTAGATACTTAAATGAACTATACGCTAGCAATAATGTCGATCAAACTATATTCGATAAAATATACTTTAATATTTTTCAATTTCGATTAAATCTATTTAATGTTTTATATCAAAAGTACGGGAGCCGACTTTTCCATTATCTCCATCTGAAGCTGCCAAAGTTTTTTCGCAAGCTGCATTGAAGAGTTGTGGAGCAAATCACGTTAACAAAACTGGCGCCTGAGTAATTTTCGAACTGAAGGCATCAAAAGTAAGGATTATTTTCTTCTAGGCAAGAAAAACCTTACTCACAATTTTTTGTCCGTTTCACGGATCCGGTAGATCCAATCTTATAACACCCTCTGCATACTTTCCTTCGGGCTTCAAGACCGTTCCTTTGGTGTACCGCCAAATCTTGATGTATATACTGTCCTGTAAAGTCCGAAACGATACACATCCTGTAGATATGTATGTAGATATGAAATATAGTATATCATACTTAGTAACCCAAATGAATTATAAACGTATAAAAATTGTTAAAATATTTTGAAAATTATTATTCACCGCATCTGCAAATTGGAAGTTTCATTTATTTTTATGGCGTTTGTTGTTAAAAACGTTACATATCCCCAGGGATGTGTATTGCAGCTAAGGTGTCAAAAAATTATCAAAAAACATGAAGTGACCTCTTAACAATGGGTTAATCTTGTCCGATATTAAGGTTAAAGTTAACTTTTAGTTATAACTATCGATTCAGAAAAGTATTAGTTAACGTGAATACGGTTGAATTAAAATATGGTACATTTGAACTACTATCCAAAAACTTACTAGAAACCATTTGATATTTCAATAAAATAGAGTACTTAGAGATTTCCTAAAATAAAAACAAATAACCAGTAAAGTTAAGTGGAACACTGGTTATATTATAAATGTTTTAATGTAAATACCAAACACATTCTCTGTAGATTGATCTGAAAGAAGGCCGAAGGAAAATAAAATACGACTATAACTTAAAATACCACTTTAATTAAATATAGCATACAACACAGTTGCAGTAAATTCAATCGATAGTACAATAACTTCTAAATTAAAATTTAACGATGGCCTGTATCCATTGAGCATCGGATACAAATATCGTTACAATCAATTCAACAAAGTATCCATGTTCCAAAAGAACGCAAGGAGCGTCGAATCTTAAAATAACTTTTTTTTTAATAAAAAAATACAAAAATCTACAAATAGACTGAGAAGCAAGAAAATTTTGTGATGCGATATTTATTAACACCCCCGTCCCTTTTTCATAAATTTCCCTCCATGTTCTTTGGTTGAAAATCGAAAATCTTCATGAACAGTAATTTTAATTTTTAACCAACAAACTCTCGGGAGATTTTATTGATTTCGTGGGACCGGATTATAATATATGGAATGAATATAATGTACTACTAACTGGGAATATTATAGTTGATACACTGAGACTGCACTAACATGAATAAATTTTCGAAAGGCTGAGAAGAGGATGAGATTCATTGGTGTCTAGACACAGTCTTTCTCGCCCACGATATATTTATTACATACATTTGCTTACGTTTAAAAAAAATCCTAGCTAAATTATTTATATAAACAATATTCCTTAAATATTAATGAATATACTTTGTGAATAAGTGTCCTATATATTTCATAAAAAAGGCTACATTAATTGTCACTGACAAGAGTATTTTAAATGTATTTCAATAAAAAAAGTGAATGAATCTTATAAACTAGATTGTTGCACATAGTTTATACTTGAAGTTATTAAAACGAAAAGTATTTATAAGACGAAAGACAACAAAAGAATAATGAGCCTCGGTAATTGGGCTTTTTGAGAGAACCTTCTTATTTTCCTTCTTTCTCTTTGTTTTCTTCTGATTTTTCTTTAGCCTTGTCCTTTTCTTTTTCGTCAGCCTAAAAAACATCATTTTATCAGTATATAGAGATTATTATTAAATAAATTAAGGGAAAGGAACCAAAAGTATACTACAAAAATGCGGATATGCAAGTTAATTTCTCAGTTTTCTCTGTCTGCAATAATGGCTACTCCCAAATACACTTCTAATAAAAAAAAACTGACGAAAATGTTTGCTAAATTCTTCAATAACTTTTTACATCTTAGACCGATACCCGTTGGATTATTTTATGATCTAAGCAGAGTATTCGATTATTATTAATAATAATAATAATAAATGGTCTTTATTCATCATAGTTACACATTTACAATAACAAAAAAAAAGCAGGAAAATGATGAAAAGGCGAAGTTCAACACAAAGCTGTTTTTCAACTTAACCTGCAACGCAAATAAATACATTCTATTCTATACAAAAAATGAATATATGCATTGATGAAATTAAATTATAGTTAAAAGAGAATTATTTTCCAATAGAATAAACCTATTTCATGACAGTTTGTTTTCGTTTTATAATGCAGATTGATTAGCTAGCTAAAAGGTTTTCTTTGAGACGTTTCTTAAAATTAAGAATAGTGTAGCATCTATATTCCGTCGTTATATCTTTATATTTTATTTCTTTTGAATAATGTAGTACTATGCACGGGTACTACTAATGTAGTTCTGTTTCTAGTGGGATAGTTATTACATGAAACGTTTTTTATGGAATAATGGGCAATTCCCTGGCAGTAGTAGTCATGGAAAACTTGAATAATACATCTAACTCACTTTTTTAATTTGTCTTTAAATTAGCAGAAAATTTATTCAGTGTTATTTAACCTTTGTGTGTATACCTTAATTTTGTACAATCTGCTAGACAGCCGACATACCGCAGTGTTTTTAATGTTACAATAAATAGACAAAATCAGGAAAATGCTTTCGAAAATCCTGACAGTTACATATTTTTTTAATTTACCATAAATCCAACCAATTACCTTTTCTTGTTCAATATCCTTCTCTTCGGGTTCCTTCTCTTTGTCACCTTCCTTCTCGTCTTTAGCCTCCTCTTTCTTGTCTTTTGATTCTTCAGCTTTTGGTTTGGGTAAGTGCGAATTCAAATCCAAAGTTGTGCAAATGTCGTCCCAGTCCGAGAAGCAGCGTTCTTTCATCCTGTTTACTAAGCCCACTAAATTGGGACATGATTCTGTCATGAAATCGCGTAATGGGTAACTGACCTCCTTGTCGATGAAATAGATTTGTGCTAGGTGAGCGAAAACGACAACGTCCAACTGAAACGGTAAAAAGACAATCAAAAATATGCTCAATGTTGATATTCTTTTGGTCAAAGTGAATAACGTTTTGTTTCATAACCATATTAGATCTTATAAACCTAATAAATTAAAAAATAAAGACTCGTGAATTTGTAGTGACAAGGGGACTGAAACAAGGATGTTGTCTGTTAAACACACATTTTAAAATATATTTAGAACAAGCCCTCAAGTACAAGTTAATAGAAGACGTCTGACGAGTACTAAAAGCAAACGTTGAACGAAATTAAAAAAAAAAATAATAAACTGAAGAATATAAACATCTGGTAATAAAAACAAGTAATAAAAGTAATTTTAAAAAACCGACTTTAAAATCGTTTGGATTCCATCACCACATCTTGACCAAATTTATGTGGGACTACCCCTAAGGTACCCCCTTACTAACAAAAAAAGAATCATAGAAATCGGACACGAAGGTAAAGAATTATCGTTAAAGATACATACATAAAAAATTAAGAGTTTGAGGATTTTATCATAAACCTAATTATTAGATTTCAATCAAATTGATATGGGACCACCCTTGAAGTACTCCCTTTCTAACAAAAAAGAATCATTGAAATCGGACACCGTGTTAAAGAATTATCGCTGAACATACATTAAAAAAAATAAGAGGAATTGAGAACCTCCTCCTTTTTTGAAGTCTATTAATAATTCTTTGGTGAAAGAAAAAATCTCGATGATGAATGGAATCAATCCAATGAGACCGAAGTATATCCAAAGACAACAAACGCAAAATAACCCGCCATGGTTAAAAACAGGGTAGTGACATTTGGCAATTTATGAAAGAAAATATCTAGTTATAAATCAACAATGGACGAGAGTAAAAATACCCGAATTCAGGAAATCAATCACAAAATTACGAATCAATCAAAACATCTGTATGGACATACAGTGTGTAACAGCCAAATGAAATAAATTCAGTAGCTTAATTGCTGTGCTTACTTATAAAAAATCCCGAAAAACATCAATTTTAGATTATAAAATGACATCCTGAATCGTAAAAGCTTCAGTCCTACCTTCAACCCCTTTCGAGTGACAGTTGAAATCCCTAAATTTGTAAATAGGAAGTAGGGGCTTGTGATGCCTCATTTGAAATGTCTATTCATTCGTCATTTAAAAATGCTGTGGTTTTCAAACTTATTGCAAAAATTAATAGTAAAAAAATACTAATAAGAGTTTCGTTATTATGTAAAAAAATAACAAAAATATAAATCCAAATGTAGGATATGTACAAAATGGATATTTCACAGAAAATAGAGCAAGTAAATAAGTTTAAATAACTAGTAACAATAATAAACAATAGAGGAAATACAGAACAAGCATTAACTAAAAAGATTAGAACAGCAAACAAATGTATTCAGAAGAAATTTCCCGGGAATAAAGAAAGTTAAAAAAAAAACAATATAGTACTACTACACTGTGAAAGTAAAAATTTGATTTAAGCAAGAAGAAAAAGAAATTCTATCAGCTGAAATAAAGTACCGCAGAAAAGTAATAGAGACAAAAAGACCAGATAGAAGACGAATTGAATATTTATGAAAGAAGATAATAAACTGGTATCGACATTTAGTAAGGACAGTAAAATATATTCTAATTGTAAGAGAAAAATACGAAAACTGGACCTAAACGGAATAATTGGCATTGGATAGGAATACATTGATCTCCCAAGCAATTTATAGAAATAGCGATGTGATAGATATATATGTCGTGTGTATAAACAAACTTTTTTGGGCCCTAAGGTGTACGGTTAAGGCACCTTTTTATCTTTTGCCAGAAATCAGAAAAGCTAAACGTATCAGCTTCAGGAAAATTTGCGAGGAGATTAATTCTACATCCGTGACAGCAAGACTGCACAAGGATCTGGCAAAAAGGAGAGTGGATACAGCTACGGATCTAAAGAAACCAAATGGAAGCTTCTCTTATTCGAAACTCGCTTTCTTTGAGCACACCTCTTTTAATAAGAGACACATTTGCAGCAGCAATCGGTTAAAGTGGGCCGTGACCACTCTTGAAACGTTTAAGTCTCTTGGTGTGGATGGAATATTTCCTGCCCTGCTTCAGCGGGCACAGAAGGATATCCCGGAGCAGTCTGGAACTAGGATATATACCAAAATCATGGAGAAGGGCCAGAGTCATTTTTATTAAAAAAATAAGGAAAAAGAATACCACACATCATACATCCTTCTGACCAATCAGCCTAACATCCTTTGTATTAAAAACAATGGAGAAAGCTGTTGATAATTACATTAGAACAGAAATCCAGGAGAGGGTGGCACTCCCCTCAGCCAGCACGCGTGCCGAGCAGGAAGAACTGAAGAAACTGCTCTGGTACAGCTGACTGATGGAATCTAGGATGCACTGACAAACAAAGAAACGGTCGTGTATGCTTTCTTAGACATAGAAGGGGCGTTTGACAACAATCCATATGAATCTGTCAATAGAGTACTCTCATACAGAGGAGTAATAGCACCACATGGATGGCTCAGCTGCTATCTACAAGAACTGCAGAGACACAGATAGGGCAGGACACCATCTTCATCTGCACAACTAAATGATGTCCACAAGGAAAAAGGTTTATTCCCACTAATGTGGAGCCTAACCTTAGACGAACTTCTATGTAGATTGACTGACCTCTACAAACCCTGTCAAGGTTATGCCGATGACATAGTCATATTTGCTAAAAGCAAGATTGGAAATATCCTGTGTGATATAGTCCAAAAAGAACTAGAATACACCAAAAAATGGTGTGGAATTTAGTATATACCCCACCAAAACAACACTAGTAGCCTTTTCAAAGAAAATGGTCTTAAAACCGTCAGTAGCCATCAAAGCACTGAGCTCTTAAGTAATCAGCTCAAAAATGGTCTAGAGATGCCTAGGAAAACTGAATGAGCTAGGTGAGGAAACTGCAGTTACTCTCATTTGGGTTCCGCAACATAACGGGGTAAAGGGTAACCAGATTGCAGCTAGTCCTTTTGTGGACTGCCGTTCTGCAGTATCAGGAGTAACACAATATTAGCAGAGATTAGAATCGAATTGAACAGTAGAAGAACCGATAATTGGAATAGTCTCTTGGGGTTAAGAGAGGATAAGACACTTCTGGATGAATATAACCAGAAAAGATCGGAAGCCTGTATCAGCCTGAGCAAGAACAGGCTATGCATTGTATCAGGGGTAATTACCGGGCATTTCCGACTCAAAGGACACCTAATCGAACTGAGAGTAGTGGAAAATAGTGAGTGCAGATTATGTTAGGAGGAGGATGAAACCTCCATTCACATTCTGACTGAATATGTAGCAATTCAGAATCCAAGGGCACTATAATTAGAAACATACCAAATAGAAGAGTTCAATCTACCTAACTTGAACCCATTCCTAATCCTCCTAGGTCGTTATGGGCATCGGGACTATTTCCCCGATGCATTAGTGACAAACGGGGGCACAATAGATCTTTTACGTCGCAGTGCATTTATACTCCGTACCCAACATAACATATCTTTTGCCAATCAATAATCTTGTTCTAATTGTGGTTTACCCCTGCGCCATAAAAATTGACAATTTTTAAGTCCCGAGTTGGATATATTTATCTTCTGGTGTCTAGCTCGCTGGAAGTTATCGAGTTAGAAACGGCCGAAAGATAATGTAAAGAAAATAATGTTGGTAGTAAGGGGGTAAACAAGTTGGTAATTACATTTTTATTATGTATTAGGTAAGATATCAGAACAATCGATTTAACATTGGAAAAAATACAACCGTTTTTCTTTTAATCATTGTTTTCGAATGTAAGATCTTGGATCTTGGTGTTTACTGTGTGGTGCTAGGATATAATGTAAATGAGGTTAATATTATCGTCCCAATTGCAGCCTTTACTATTTCAGTTAGCTAAACACGAATCATAAGAATTTTGGAAAGCTTCGAATACAAAGAAAGGATGAAATATTTTCGGATTGATTCCAATCGACATAAATGCACAACAAACGATTTTTAGTGATTTTGAAAAATTTACAAGTGAATAAAAATAATACATACTGTTGTTGGTTCATCTCCAAAGAAGAATGGTTTGTCAGCTAACATGTCGGATAGTACTTTCAAATCTTCCTGTCCAAATTCGTTGATTTCCTCAGCAGAATGTACTCCCATTCCTTGCGCTTTAACTTTTTTTGTTGCCTGGAACCACTAAATTGTCAAGATACAGAATTAAAAAACAAAACACTACAAACAACACTGGAAAAGCATGCAACATGCAACTCATCTCAATATACATGAATGATCTGTTAATGCGAAATGAAAACAATCAATAAGAAAAGTTTTGTTTTAATTTTTGTTAGTCACTATTAAAAAATTAGGGAAAGTTGGAAAATTAAATGTTAGTGATTCCATATTTAAGTATAAATAAGTTTAAATATTTGTTGTATAACATTTTTGGAACAGAAATTTAATACTAACTAGATATTCTAGAAGTAATTTGTTCCATTAAAAAATTTGTTCCAGCTTTTCCCAATTATTTTTTAACCAAATATCCGTACACCATACTGACCAGAATATAAAAAAATCGTATTAAATATTAAAAACAAAACTTTTCATTGACTATTTAATGGCGAGATAAAGTCCTGGGATATTTTATGTTTCCTGTGTTGTTTGGTCTATATAACTCACTAACCATTAAATCTATCATAGGTCATGATCTATGACTACGAAAATATTCAAAATATTTTAAAACAATGCCAATTATACGCCTCAGAGAATTCGGAGATAATCAACAAATCTAATAAACTAACATAAATCGTAATTTTTCAATCATATAGTCATTTATATCAGTTAAAGTCCCCATCATCTGTGTGGAACACTTACTGACAATAATTATAAAAAGTACGATATGTATATCAAGACAACCACATTCCACCTACATAATAATATAAACTATGATTACGCTATAAGTGAAGGAATTCAAAATAAGGCTGATTTTTCTTTAAGTTATGAAATGTCTGTATTTATTAACGTGAGTGCACAACATTGCTTGGAGACTGATTTTGTGTAAATACATGATGGGTTAGAAAACACCTTAATGGAATATTCTGTAACAAGGTTGGAATGAAAATTCGATACGAGTGAAAGATTCGGAACGCGATCGTGAAATACCACGAGTATAGGATATTCATTCCAACAAAGTAACAGACTGTATTTTCTCTACGGCCACAGACACAGTAGGAGTTGAATGCGGGCGTGATATTCACAGCCATTGGCCAGTAGCATAATAACATTCTGTCACTAGAGATAGAATGAAATACGTCTAAAACACATAAGAGACAAGTATTTCAGAATTTTCTTTCGATCTCAAGAGCGAGAATCTATCCTATCCGTTATTATAAGGGTTTCGGAAGAACTACATTCAGTAGTGGCCGTGGAAAAAATTAGTTAAAAGTTAAAGAGCCACATTAAACATATATTATGATAAAAAAAGTAATAGGATTGATTTTCTAAAGTTAAATCTCAGCAAAAAACTGTAACTGTAAATCTAACTTTGGACAAAATACCTGTAAAATAACCAACCTCATTAGGGTTAACTTATTAATCTCCTGGTAATTAACGTTAGTAATCGACAGGATACATGTTTTGCTTATGTTACGCAAATATCAATACAATTTTAACAGAAGTTTTAATTTTAGCAGAAAATAGAACATAAAATATTTTAACATTAAGTTTTAAAGTTTTATATATTTTTCCTATTTTTTTATTTATTTAGTCTTAGCTATTATTATTTATTGATTATCAAGGTAAAAATGACTGACGTGAAAATAAAAAAGAATTGACCGGCAAAATTTTCAATAGAAAACGAATTGCTTTGAAATTAAGTTGATAAATATGCAACAATATTAGAATAAAAAATCTAATAAATGCTGAACTGTGCTTTCAAATAGTCTCTAAACCTATTAACAAAATCATAATCATCCCTAAACTAAAAATCATTAGGTCTCTGATGTAAAATTTTAGTTCTTCTAACGATTATACACTCACCGACTTAAAATTCGATCCATTCAAAATAATGATTTATTTAAAAATGCTCTAACTTTCAAATGCGGAGGCTGATTTATTTGAAGTTTTTAGCAACTTTTAGATAAAATACTATAGTACTCGCCGGATATACAGGGGGGAAAAGAAAACAATTTTTTACTCTACTTTTGACACACCCTGTAGGTTAATTCTGCTAGTAGATCTGCACACAATTAACTTTATCAAGAAGACAGATTTGTTTCCAACATTTTGTTTTTTTATTTACCCCGATATCTTAATTTGTTTGTGAAAAGTGACGGTTTAAAGAAAATGCAACATTCTTAATTTTTTTATTGTTTTAGCAGAGTAATACATAATTTTATAAACAAATCAAACAACAAATAAACTAATCATTTATTACAAATTAATAACGGGTATTTCCCCCACGAGCGCGAATAACTGCCTCAATGCGTCGTGGCATACCCTCTATTAGATGTCGAATCTCCATCTGGTCAATCTGATCCCATTCTTGGACCAAAGCATCTCTCAAAAAATTTAAATTACTTGGAGAAGGAACTCGGTTATGAACTCGTCTGTCCATCATATCCCAGACGTGCTCAATTGGATTGAGGTCTGGGCTACGTGATGGCCAGTTCATCCTTTGAATTTCTGTTTCATCCAAATATTGAGATACAATCCTCGCAATATGTGGTCGAGCGTTGTCATGCATAAACATGAAATCGTTTCCTATAAACGGTGCAAATGGAATTACATGTGGATCTAGCACATCACGAATATATCGGTTAGCTGTCATTGCTCCGCCGTCAACAATGACTAAATCAGTACAAGCTTCCATGCTTATGCCGCCCCAAACCATTACCGATCCTCCTCCATAACTGAGTCTTGTGGAAAAATTTGCTTGGTCAAACCTTTCGCCTCTTCTTCGGTATATTCTTTCACGGCCATCAGGAGAACGTAAACAAAACCTTGACTCGTCAGAAAATAAAATCTTATTCCAGTCATCGACATTCCAATGTTGATGCTCCCTGGCAAATCGAAGACGTGTTGTTCTGTGATTCCTAAGTAATTCCGGACCAGTTGCAAGTCTTCTGGAGCGTAATCCATGTTCTCATAATCGCCTTCGAATCGTTATTTCGTTAACAGCTACTTCACGTACTTCTTCTAAACGATTTCGAGCCATGACAGCAGTAGTATTTCTTTCTCGCAAAACGTTTAATGTTACAAAACGATCATCTCGAACATTTGTAGAACGTCGTCTGCCAGATCCTCTTAGTCTCGAAAAACTACCAGTTTCATTGAAACGTTGTACAGCTCTCTGGACGCTACACCTTGTAACACCCAATATTCTAGAAGCATAATACTGAGACCTACCGTCTTGTACCAGAGCAACTGCTCGTGCTGCATCAGTAGGCGTTAAAACCATGATGTTATGCTGATAATGAATATTTGTTGTGCTGATAATTAAATTGCCAAGTAACGAATATTTGACAGTTGTCATATTGTGAGTCATTTAAATTATGACCGTTTCTAAAATGTAGCATTTTCTCTAAACTGTCACATTTCACAAACAAATTAAGATATCGGGATAAATAAAAAACAAAGTGTTGGAAACAAATCAGTCTTCTTGATAAAGTTAATTGTGTGCTACTAGCAGAATTAACCTACAGGGTGTGTCAAAAGTAGAGGAAAAAATTGTTTTTTCTTCTCCCTGTATACGCGGCGAGTACTAAATTACTTTTAGATGTCCGAATAATAATCTTAAAACTACAGTATTTTACCTAAAAGTTGCTAAAAAATTCAAATAAATCAGCCTCCGCATTTGAAAGTTAGAGCATTTTTAAATAAATCATTATTTTGAATTGATCGAATTTTAAGTCGGTGAGTGTATTTTGAAAATCTTAAATATCATCGTCAGAACCTGATTCAAAAATAAATTATTATTTTTAATCTCCCGTAACCATTAAGAAAAGTATAGGAATCATGATTTTTATATTTCTTGACAATGACAACTGTCACTTTATACTGTATATATTCATTGTTTAAAATTTAAATCATAATAAAAATAGTTAGGATATTTTCATAAGAAAACACCGATATTTTAAACAGTTGTTGATATGTACTAATTTCGTTGTGTTACTGATAAGTAACGTCTATAAACAATAGACCCATTGAATTTATAGTGACACTATCGTCCTATAAATTGAAGCTTATTACGATATTAATTGCAGAAGTGTCCTAAATAATATGCAATTATGTATAGTATCTTTTATCCAAGTGTTTATAATTTCTTATAAAAAATGATTCATATCTTCATTTGTATAATTAAAAATAGAAGAATTAAAATTTAAATATGGTTTATAGTATATTCAGTTTAAAACGTTATATAACACTACGAGGGCTGTTCTCTTTTGGTTGAGCCTAGTAAAGTAGTTTATTTACAAAAAAAAAAAATATTCCTAATTCCGTAAAAAGATTTTCTTGGAAAGATTTTCTCAAATCTTAATTTGTTTATTTTATTTTTAAAGGCATCAACCGCTTCTACGGTCGAGATAATACGTTAACCCCGTAATTTATCCGAGTCATTAGGTGCTAGGTCTGGACTATATAGCGAATGACTCATTATTTCTATGTTTTGGGCATTCAAATACTCATTTGTTTGATCAGCAGTATGAGCCTGAGTGTTATCTTTATGCAAGATGTTTTTGGCGAACTTTTTGAAGAACCTGAGGCAATAAACTGTAGTCTACAATTCTGAATTCTGAATTAACAGTACGTCTATCCTCCAGTGCTATAGTGATGTCCAGTAACTTCAAATAAAGTGGCGACCACCTTTTTGTTTGAGCCGACTCATTCTCAAAGACCCAAACTGACGTGTGTTGCTTTTTTTCAGAATCATAGCAGAATACCCATGTTTCATCACCTGTGATGATGTTGTACACCAAATTAAACGATCTACGGTCAAAGTGATCTAGTGTAGATCTGCACCACCTCACACGATCTTCTTTTTGAGCTAAAGTCAAGTCAATCCACTGACTTTCAAATGCTAGTGTAAAAAATGTTAATTGCTTTCACGCCAGTTGCTTGAATGTTTCTGACTTGTTACCAACCACTTGATTGATTTCCTATTTCCTCAAAACATTCTTTACGGTTTAAGCCAAGCTTGA